TGTGGCAAGGCACAGATCTGGCCAAGGTTACAAAAGAAGTTCTGCAACACTCAAGGTTCCTCAGAGCACAGTGGCCTCCATAATCCTTAAATGGAAGAAGTTTGGGACGACCAGAACTCTTCCTAGACCTGGCCGTCCAGCCAAACTGAGCAATCGTGGAAGAAGAGCCTTGGTGAGAGAGGTAAAGAAGAACCCAAAGATCACTGTGGCTGAGCTCCAGAGATGCAGTAGGGAGATGGGAGAAAGTTCCACAAAGTCAACCATCACTGCAGCCCTCCACCAGTCGGGGCTTTATGGCAGAGTGGCCCGACGGAAGCCTCTCCTCAGTGCAAGACATATGAAAGCCCGCATAGCCCGCACAGACTATGAGAAATAAGATGCTCTGGTCTGATGAGACCAAGATTGAACTTTTTGGCGTTAATTCTAAGCGGTATGTGTGGAGAAAACCAGGCACTGCTCATCACCTGCCCAATACAATCCCAACAGTGAAGCATGGTGGTGGCAGCCTCATGCTATGGGGGTGTTTTTCAGCTGCAGGGACAGGACGACTGGTTGCAATTGAAGGAAAGATGAATGCGGCCAAGTACAGAGATATCCTGGAAGAAAACCTCTTCCAGAGTGCTCTGGACCTCAGACTGGGCCGAAGGTTCACCTTCCAACAAGACAATGACCCTAAGCACACAGCTAAAATAACAAAGGAGTGGCTTCGGAACAACTCTGTGACCATTCTTGACTGGCCCAGCCAGAGCCCTGACCTAAACCCAATTGAGCATCTCTGGAGAGACCTGAAAATGGCTGTCCACCAACGTTCACCATCCAACCTGACGGAACTGGAGAGGATCTGCAAGGAAGACTGGCAGAGGATCCCCAAATCCAGGTGTGAAAAGGTTGTTGCATCATTCCCAAGAAGACTCATGGCTGTACTAGCTCAAAAGGGTGCTTCTACTCACTACTGAGCAAAGGGTCTGAATACTTATGACCATGTGATATTTCAGTTTTTCTTTTTTAATAAATTTGCAAAAATTTCTACATTTCTGTTTTTTTCTGTCGAGATGGGGTGCTGAGTGTACATTAATGAGAAATAAAATTAACTTTTGATTTTAGCAAATGGCTGCAATGAAACAAAGAGTTAAAAATTTAAAGGGGTCTGAATACTTTCCGTGTGTGTGTGTGTGTGTGTGTGTGTGTGTGTGTGTGTGTGTGTGTGTGTGTGTGCGTACACACACAAACAAACAACACATCTTTTATATAATAATATAATGAGAAAGAAAGGATGAGAGTTCTAGTATCTATAAACCGAACGATCCCGTCCCTCGTCTCCTCTTCTGTTCAGCCCTGCTCACCGTCTCGGAGGAGGTCCGAAGTCGCTGCAGCCTCAAACACAGGAAGTCCCTCCTGATCTCTGACCTGTCCATGGACCCGGTCCCCATGGACACGTACTCCACGCACATCATGGACCCCAGCTGCAGGTGAGCCGAGGGAGACCTGATCCCAGTGAGTCCCGGTACACCACGAGCTGTCTTAAAATGAAACTCTCCGTTCTCCTTCAGAACCCTGCGGGAGACTCAGCCCTGGACGTCGCCTCAGGTGTCGGAGCGCTACCTGTCGGCCCACCCCTACCCCACGGTGGGTCAGATCAGCCCGCGCACACGCAAGTCCATGAGCCTGGACATGGGTCAGCCCTCACAGGCCAACACCAAGAAGCTGCTGGGTACGACCGCTCCATCGCTCCTCCAGCTCTCTGTACACCGTCATGTGACCTTGCAGCATGAACACTAGAGGGCCAACTAACTGAACCAGAACCAGCTTCACTACACACACAAGCAACGTGACTCTGGTTTCACTTTGCTCTCATCTACAAACATAGAATATACAAAGACACAAGAAACATTACAGACGACAAAGTAGAACAGAGAAACTAAGCTTTAACTTTGAACTACTATGTACAACATGAACACATGTAGAGGAACGTACATCAAGCTAAAGAACAATGACAATGACAATGGATTTGGGATATTAGTGCAAATGAACTGTGAGGAATTAAAGAGACGAGTGAACCCAGAGATCTGCTCACAGACTGTAGATGTAACCGCTACAGAGGAGGATTATAATCACCTATAAACTCATATCTCATGTTCATGAACTACTCTATTACCTTCATACAAGCCTGTAGATAGAGAAGCATTACATGTTATAAAGAAACAAAGGTTGAACGTCCTGTAAAGTGATACATATTGACTCACATGTAGATGTTGAACACTCACTAACACTGTTTCTAAAGCTGCCAACAATGAATCGTCCTTTGTAAATCCTGCGATAGTGTTTCTATCAGTGAGTATCTGTGACGGTCACGTGATCACATACGAGTTACAGACCTGCGACTCAGCCGGCTTCACTGCAGCGAGTGTAGACTCGGGTTTAAATGAGAGTGTAAATGTCTGCTGTTGGCTCCCTCCAGGCACCAGGAAGAGCTTCGATCACCTCATATCGGACTCTAAAGCACCGAAGAGACCAGAGATGGAGTCTGGTATGACCACGCCCCCTAAGATGAGGCGAGTAGCGGAGAACGACTACGAGATCGGTGAGCTTCCTTCTGCGTCCTCATGTCTCCTGGTGTTTTATGTTTGAGATGTTTCACGTAAAGCCTCCCGTTGTTTCATCATCACAGAGACTCAAAGAATGGGGAACTCTCACCTGCGCAAGGTGTCCGTCTCCGAGTCCAACGTCCTGCTGGACGAGGAGGTGCTGACCGACCCAAAGATCCAGGCTCTGCTGCTCACTGTGCTGGTGAGGACACCTGAGCATCACGACGGACACAGCAAGTGTCTGCTCCTGTTTGTTTACACACAGTTTCTTTGTGTTTAAGGCCACGCAGGTGAAGTACACCACGGACGACTTCGATCAGAGGATCCTGTACGAGTACTTGGCCGAGGCCAGCGTTGTCTTCCCAAAGGTGTTTCCTGTCGTGTGAGTGGAGTTCTCTCTTTGTTGGGATGTTTTTGGGGGTTTTCTCCGTCTCAGTATGTTCCACATGGGAGCAGCTGAGAGCAACATCTGGTGGTACAAGTCAGTGTCCTGGTCCTCACTCCGGCCTTAGGCTGAGTTTATAGTCTCCAGAAAAAGACCTGTGATGAGATGGTGTGTGTATACGTGAAGTTCAGGATACCAACGAGCCAGTGGAGCGCTCTGACAAACAGACCTGGAGTCAGTTTGTCTCCTCGTTGGGAACAAGTTAAAATAGATGCTGTTTGTGCAACAGATGACTTTCATCAAACCAACAGTCAGAGTCTCTCTGTGCACCTGACCTCAGGTCTGTCTCTGTGCACCTGACCTCAGGTCTGTCTCTGTGCACCTGACCTCAGGTCTGTCTCTGTGCACCTGACCTCAGGTCTGTGGTACAGAGACAATGAACCTGAAGTCTCAGTTAAGTGTCAGATGTGATGAAACATATTAAATTATAATATTATATTATAATAATAATAATAATAATAATATTATGCTCTTACAGAAGTCAGCAGTGTATTTAGATCAAAGCCTTCTTCATCTATATGTTTGTGTCTCCTCCTCCTCCTCTTCTTCAGCCACAACCTGCTGGACTCTAAGATCAACACGGTTCTGTCCATGTGTCAGGACACCAACCTGCTGAACCCGGTCCACGGCATCGTGCAGAGTGTGGTGTACCACGAGGAGTCGCCCCCCCAGTACCAGCCCTCCTACCTCCAGAGTAAGACACACTTCTAGGGGGGGGGGGTATGACATGCTGTAAAGGTCCCACGATGTAATCAAACCGGTGACGTTGCAGTAACACTCCACGACCAAGTGTTTCTGAACAGGAAGTTACCTAAAACTACAACCGTTAATTAAAATGAATAACAGCTCCGTGCCTTTTTTACATGTCACCTCCCTCCCTTCTCTCCCCCCTCATCCCTCCCTCCCTCCCTTCTCTCCCCCCTCATCCCCTCCCTCCCTCCCTCCCTCCCGTCTCATTTCACAGGCTTTGGCTTTAATGGTCTCTGGAGGTTTGCTGGACCCTTCTCTAAGGTAAGAAGCATTCTCTCCACCGCTCATCTTTTATTTTCTCTGAGGCACAAATTCAGCTTACTCAGCACTTTACACTGCAACACGCTGCCAATGGTGAAGTGATATATGAGGCACACACACATGTTAATACTGACTCTAGCAGCTGCTCAACCATTTAGAAAACACAACTAATGTGTAGAGGCTTCTTGTATAACGCACATTTACAGGATTAATTCTGTAATGAAACAATATTTATTCTGAAGGGAAAGAACATTGTTGTCTTGAGTCATGAAGACGCTGTAAATGAATGGAAACTGTGTTGGCATTATTCCTATTTATTAAATGAAGCTCTTACACATAGTGTGCGAGTGTGTGTGTGTGTGTGTGTGTGTGTGTGTGTGTGTGTGTGTGTGTGTGTGT